ATTGGGTCACATTTGTTGGGGCACGTCGAACTTCAGGCCGGAATGAACTGATCGCTCGCTACATCAAACTTCGCACTGGAAAGACCCGAACTCGCAAGCAGGTTTCCAGTCATATCCAAGTGCTCGCAAGGCGGCGCTCCAAAGAAAAGCAGCACCAGCAGCACCCGCTCCAGGACCAATGCATGCTTCAGGACTGTCAGTCTTCTAACGATGTCCAGTTCTTCTCTGCATCAGCCGGCTGGTTCGAGCCCAACGATCTCCCTTCACCCTCCTCTACCTCCACCTCGCTCACTCTATGCTCCTTCTCGACGGTCACAACAGCTGCAAGGTGTCTTCGCGACGGCCAAACGGAGCTGGCGTCAGCCGCATGGACAGAGCCAAAATCCGTCAAGCGGACGTCATCCCACTTGGCTGCCTCAATGCCATTCGAGAAGACCCCGGAGCCGACTGCGATCCCGCTTCTGACACCGTCGTCCCAGCCCCACCCGCAGACTCCACAAACTCGAGTCGATCGGTTGCCGCCCTCCGAAGGCGTGGCGCCGATTTCGGGTCCAGTCAACCTGGCTGCTGGGCTTATTGATCCTGAATGGACTCGGTTTGAGCCAGGTTCCTTGGACTCCCGACGGGACTCGGCGACCAAGCGTTTGGGTAGGCAGAATAGCAGGCTTACTCAAACTCACTCATCACAAAACCAATGGTCTGATAGGATAGTGATGTCGTTTGACGATTCGGCTTGTCGGTTAAAAAAACTATTTCTTATCCTCTTCATCATCGTCGTCGGCATTACCACTGAACACTGCCTTGTAGGCGCCAATCAAAAACACCATTTGAAACTCTAAAAGTCAGAGCCCATCCTAAGCTTCGTTTTATCGCGCTTTTGCTAAGCACTAACTAGAATATAATTGTAATGAGATGATTTACTGGTAGTCTCGAAACCCTACTCAATTACGAATAGAATATAATTATTTTAGCAGATAAAAATCCTATTTTATACCCTCCTAATAACAAGCCATTTGACAACATCAAACACATTAAAAGTCCTTTCAAGGTTGCTATATTAAAAGCAGTACGAATACAACCGAACAATACTTTCGTATTACCTTTACCTCTGTCATATAGTCGAAAACAATAACCACCTATATGAACTGTATTCACTTTATTTCGTTTAAGATGCTGAAGGAGTGGTGGTTGAATTTTCCTACAATAATACGAATAGGCATAACGTTTCCATTAAATTTCACAGCCTTGCTTCCCAAAAGGGTGGATTGCAGTTGCGACCTCGCACAGGTCTTAGCAACACCCTCAGCAGGGCTCGAAACATGACAGTGTAGCGTATAATCTCGACTCGTTAGTTACCATACCACATTGCCACGAGTGCTCTTGGGTTAACACAATTTATATATCTGATTTACGGGTAGCCTCGAAAACCTAGTCCAAAACGAAAAATAATTTATGTCGTCGGTTTATATGGCAAATATGGGTTTGTTTCATCGACAATCCCACCACAGAAGGTTATATGGGGAAATGCCTGGCCTGGAATATGAGAAAAATGCCTGAACTTATTTATAATTCACATCTGCCCTATGAACTAATGACACTTGTAGCAGTGTGGCTTAGTGGTTAACGCGCCAAGGTCATACTGTCATGGTTCGAGTCCTGCTGGGGCGAAGTCAAAATTGCAGTCCATTTCAGCTATGTGAAATCAAATGGAATCGTAAGGTCTACTCATATGATTAGGGTGACATTCAACCACCAGTCCTCTAATACCTTAAACAAAATAGGG